CGAGTGGTTGCAGAGTGCTGACCTCCTGAACCTGCGCTCCCTTCCAGTGGAGGAGTTACAAGAGCATCTGAAACTGTTTTGGGATTTTAAAGAGTAGAGTATCCTAGAAAGCAGAGCACATTGATATAAGGCTGTTCAAAGGACAGTTTGTTTTTTTTTCCCCCAGTTTAGAACACCGTGTCGCATGACTTTACCTGAAGAAGCCTTACAGGGAAAGTGAGAACTGTTCAAGTGGAAAAACACTTAATTCCCCGATTAATCATGCTCAAAAGCCCTCTCACTGTAATGTATCGGTGATTTTTGTTGATTTTTTTTTCTTTGGCGGTTTGTACAACAATGTCAGTGTGTAAAAGCTGTGTTTAAATGTGAAGCACTTACATCCATCTTAAGTAATTAGCCGTCTGTGAGTACTTGCACAGTAAAACAAGGGTTAAGGACTGTTGAGTTTCTGTAATGTTTATATTGGCCCAAGAAAGGGTTTGTATTTATGAAGAGAAAAGGGAGAAAAATGGAAGATCCTGGTTCAGGCTTTTTATGGCCAAAATTAATCCTCTCCTGTGTTGAAGAAAGTTGATTTATTTTTTTTTTTCTTTATACATACAGATAGACCTCCTGCTCTGCAAAGACACGCTCTTAGCAGGTGCTATCGTTTTAACCCGGAGATGCCCAGCCTGTTTGCTTGGGTTAGGCCCAAGGCCTGGAACGGGGTGTTGAGAGATGACGGCAGCTCGGTGGGTGAGGTGTAGCTGGTGATGCGTGTGTGCTAGTAGCTGTGATTTGCGGTGGTAAAACTCCGATATGTTTTGTGCACGTGAAAGAAGTCATGACTAGGGTGTGAATGTGCAACGTATAAAGGAAAGCATACGGGACAGAAAAAGAAAGCTGAAAATGTGCATTCTCAGGACTGCAAAGTGGAGAAGTGATACAAACAAGCAATATGGGCAAGGAGGTACTCTGGATATTGTTGTGCTAATACGTAGAAAATTGCCGTCCCTGTACCATGTAGGTAAAGGGACAAATTTATTTTGCAAGTGTTTGAAATTTTTTTTAATCTTTCAATTCATTTTTCAGTGAATTTCTTCTCTAAGCATTCAGCTAACTTTGCTGCAAGTTGTTCCTACAGTATCAGTTTCTGCTGCTGCCCGATTGACTGAAACAGCCAAGCGACCTGCTGCTCTGACGTCTTCCTGACAGCACAGACTGGGGCTGCGGAGGTCGAGGGTATTAAGGTCAGTCATGCAGAACAAAGCGGGGCTGGATGAGCATTGGCTTTGCATGTTATTATCCTTTAGCCCACTAATCTTGATTACTATACCCCACCAAAAATGTGGGCACTTGTCTAAATATAAAAGGAACTGGAAGAGGCCCTGGAAACACCAGGATTAACTAAACACAAACGCCCCGTCTGGGTGGGTGATAGCAGGTGACGACATTAAAATGTCCAGATCCCTAATACCAGGAGATTTGAAACAATGGTTAGTATCGTCTTAGAGCTGTTTATCATA